GTGTTTATTCTTTTAGTGATTATAATATATTTATAATTGAAGTCTAAGTGGAATTTTTTCCCTTAATTTCGTTTTCAGATTATCCATTGCAAGTGTATAGAGATAAAATGGATTTTTGTACCTTGATCTTATATCCTGCAGCCTTGGCTGTACCTGTTAACTAGCTCTTATAGTTTTGTGTGTGTGCACATTCCCCACCCCTCTTTCCAACTAAATCTTTGCAATAGGTGATTCTGGAGAACTTACAATGTCCTGACTTAACAGGAAAGCTTTTTCTTCATTTTCTAGGACTTGTAGCTGTAGGATACATCAATGAAGCTATAGACGAAGGGAACCCTCTGAAAACTTTAGATAGCCTCCTGTTGCCCACTGCTAAGATTAACTATGTGGACCCAGGCCTTGCCCAGCACTACCAGGATGTTTTGTCCTATGCCAAATCACAGAAATTCATGGTAAGTCTTAGCGGGTTTGTTTCTTTCAAATATGCAGACCTGGGTTGGGAAGAGGGAGGGAGAGGGAATATTTTTTACCCATTTTTCCTAAGGCTCGTGAGCTTCTTGTCCTGTCAATTGCCTGTGAATCAGAATGGAAGTAATGGGACTGTTATTTTCCTGGTGTTACACATGAGGGCGCAGCTACTCCAGAGCTGACTACTGCTTCTGTTCTTTCATTAGAAACTCAGTTGTGGGTGAGTTCTTGTTCAGAGGCCAAGTCACTGGAGATGTACTGAGCACATGCTGTGTTCGTAGCGTGGTAGATAGCATCTGGTAGGGAAAAGGGGCTACAAGCAGCATGTGATACCATTGGAAGGTTCTCTGACCTTATCCTCAAAATGCTTAGAAACTTACTGAGGCATATAGAATAAATAACAGTAGAGATAAGTATGTGGCAAAGTGTCAAAACAAGGAGTGCACAGGGTGACTCCTAGATGGTTGGTGGTGGTGTGGACTGGAATCCTAAGAGAAGTTGGTGTGGAGCTAGAACAGGAGCTGCACCTGAGAGGTAAGGAAGAGTTGCTTAGGTGCGGGGGAAGCAGGCAGGTAATGCAGTGCTAGGTGGGTGCCAGCAAGGTTTGTTCTAGGCCTGGGAGGACACTGACCTGGGCAGGGTCCCATTGAAGGGCAGAGGGTTTTGTCTGACTGCAGAGCTTGTACTGATGTTATGAGGAGTCCCACAGGTGCTGGCCACTGTTGGAAGAGTACTGTGCTGGGTGGCGAGGCTTGATGACCGTCACCTGAGCGTGGGAGTGACGCTACCTGGGACCTCACCACTTGTAGCTGCCATGCCCCCTGGTGCAAGCCTAATTGAAAGGGGTGGGCATCTCCTTTGTATAGGTCTTAGAACCTGGGAACAGCCTTACCTGGAACAGGAAAAACATCATTGGTTAGAGCAAAGATTTATTGAGTATCTGCTGTTTGCCAGGCATGATATTAGGTGCTTTATGTATATTATCTCATGTAGTCCTCATAACAGTTCATAAGAGCCTGTGAATTAAATATCGCTATCATCACCTACAGATAATGCAACAAAGACTAAGTAAGGTTTCCAAAGCTTCCCAAAAAGTAATCAGTTCTGGGACCATGACCTGGTCTGTCTGATTCAGAAACATATGTTATTGTGCATTAAGGCAGATGGAAAAGGATGTTTATTGCAGCATTGTTTGTAATAGCAAAAGACGAAAAACAACCTAAACGTCCATCAAGATGGGGCTGGTTAAATAAATTGCAGTATATCCATGCAGTGAAATACTATATGGCCATCAAAAAGAATGAGCAAATCTATATTGGACAATCTTTAATATGGATATTGTTAAATGAGAAAAGCAGGCTTCTACATGCATAAACATGGGATGCATGCCCATGGATATGTGTGCTTGGATGTGCATAAAATGTTTCTGGAAGGAGATACCTTCTGGAAGGTGAACTGGGAGGCTGGTATGGACGGGACTTCTTTTTCCCTCTGTTCTTGTACTGTTGGGATTTTTAAATTTTTTACAGAGAGCGTGTATTACATACTTAGTGTTTCTAAACTTTCAAGAAACAGTGTAAACTCATGAAGGCCAAATCCCCCAGTAACTTTTCTAGTTTCTGGAACAGGACCTACTGCCCCGATCCAGGTGTTCCTTCAAAGCCGCTAACTTTTACTCAAGTGCTTAGAAACATTTTGACGTAACCTGGTCTCCAGCAGCAAACAGAAGTGGTTGCCTTTGGGGAAGGGAATTGAGTGGCTAGGGATGAAGACGATGTATTTTTGAATCTTTTCAATTTTCTACCATGTAGTACTTGGCAAAAAAAAAATTTAATAAATAAAAATTCAATAAAAGTAAAAGAACAAAACAGTATAAATCCTATTCGCTCCACACCACTAAACGGCCTCATTTGAGGTGAAGAAAAATATCCCCTAAGGAGGGGCCTTCTGCGCTCTTAGCCTTCTGGTGGGACGGCAGCAGCCTTACCCTCTGCTTTCCCAATCCCCTCACTTAAATCGTGCTCATCTGAGCCTTGCAGCAGCTATGGGGTGGGCGCCCTCTCAGCTGATGTGAGTGAACCTGAGGCTCAGGTTGAATGCCGGGCCAGTGAGCGGGAGAGCAAGACTCAAACCCAAGCCTTGTGGCCCCACATCCCAGGGGGAGGAGAGAGGACCCTGTCAACAAGGAGGAGTGGGCTGCCTCCCGCTGTCCCACTGATGGAGCTGTGGCCGGAGCACATGGCACAGCATTGGAAGATAAAGTCCTTTGCTTTGGAGACAGACAGGCACTATTCACATCTTGGCTTTGCCACAAATTAGCTAGGGATTTTAGTCAATTCACCAAAATTGTCTATGCTTCAGTTTTCACATGTGTGAAATGAGAATAATAGTGCCTGCCTTACAGGATTATGGTGAGGATTAAATGATGATATATATATAATATTAATATATTAAATGAATAATATATATTTGCATATTTATATTTTATATAATATGTTAACATATAATTCTGATAATTGTGAATATATGTGTGAGTGTATAGCATTTAGCATGGAGCCTAACACCCAAAAAAAGTGCTTCAATCATGTAGCCATATTATCGTGGGTGCCTCCGGCTGCCACGCAGGTGAGTGATGTCTGCATCACAAGGTCCTTACCAGACACAAGGTCTGCTTTGTCCACAAACCAGAGTTGGGATCCTCTGGGTACAGGATAGAGATAGACCTGGGTTCCTCTCTGCCCACAGCCACCTGGGGGTTTGTCCTTGAGGTGAGACTGACTCCCCAAAACTTTCAGGAGCAGGCAGTGGAGGGCCCCTCAAGAGCATTCCAATCTAAGGGCTCTAGATGGAGATGGAACCCCACAGGCCCTCTGGAGGGCTCTCAGAAGCCTCCCTGAGTCCGTGCTCTGCCGGCCGGCTGTTAGGCATCCTTTCTAAGTGTGGAAGCTGTAGCTTTAATAGTGTAATCAGAGAATTAAATAGGAGCCTAGGGATCTGCGTTCTAGATCAGGTATTAAACCACTTTTGGTCTATAAAATTAGGCTTTGGGGCTGGCCCCACGTCCAAGTGGTTAAGTTTGCATGCTCTGCTTCAGCGGCCCAGGGTTTCACCAGTTTGGATCCTGGGAGCGACCTAGCAACGCTCATCAAGCCATGCTGAGATAGTGTCCTACGTAGCACAACCAGAAGGACCTACAACTGGAATATACAACTATGTACTAGGGGGCTTTGGGGAGAAGAACAAGGGAAAAAAAAAAAAGGATTGGCAACAGATGTTAGCTGAGGGCCAATCTTTAAAAGAAAAAAAGAAAATTAGGGCTTGAACTATATTGGCAATAGCTAACAGATTTCAAACACTACAACTCCAAGCAACGAATCTGATTTGATTAAACTGCTATTTTTAAACACAGTTTTCTTTCTCTGTCCATTAATTTTAAAACATTCCTTTCTCAGCCCGTTCTGTTTCCCTGGGGAAAAAAAAAATCTGATTCTCTTGTTTATTTGGTGGGATCTCTGTGTTTGTTTGTTGTGTTTTTGTTTTTGAGGAAGATTGGCCCTGAGCTAACATCTGTGCCCATCTTCCTCTATTTTATATGAGGGACACCTGCCACAGCATGGCTTGATAAGCGGTGTTACATCTGCACCCGGGATCCAAACCAGCGAACATGGGGCCACCAAGCAGAGCATGCGAACTCAATGCTATGCCACCAGGCCGACCCCTTCTGTGTTTGTTTTCTAACCTCTGCTGTTGTGATACCTGAAAATTTCCAGTTTGTTTTTTAACCTCCGCTGTTTCGATGCCTGAAAATTTCTGTGCCTTGTTTTTCCATAGTCTGGCCTTGGAAAATAATGGAAGACAATTACACTACTGGTATTGACAATTTAAAGTAAAGATTGCACCCAAGTATACAGCCATTAAAAGTCACAATGGGTTGCATCTTAATAGGATGGACACTCAGTTTTGTCTGAGATTGAGGACAGTGATGTAAGTTGGTGAGGATTCTTGGTCTTTGTTAATAGTGTTTCCAGTATAACCTCATATAGGCACCAAATTCCTCTTGTCTTTTGGGGAAGGGCTGAGTAATGAGTATGTTGGCATTTACTTAGCAGAGAAGACTCTTTCTGTGTGTATTCACTGGAGGCAGTGAATTGTGAGCTATTTTAAAATTAAAAGCTTTGCATGAGAACATATGAATTATGCCCCTAAAAAAGTTCTGTTTTGCGACATATGTATTTACTGCATAAAAATTAAAGTGTGCTTTTGACAAGTGAACGTTGCTGCATTTTTTCCTTAGGTAAAATTGTTTTACAGTCGATGACTTATTTGCAGAAACCAATTCCTTCCATTGAAGTTTTTGTCATCTTGAAACTTATTTTAGATTTGTTTTTCTTGATTGCTTTGGTGTTTATCTGATTCTTATTCTTCGCATAACCACACACAGACCGTAAAGGGTCTTCATGTACACGTTGTTTTCTTTCTTTTTTTTTTGTTACCTAAGTCCAATGAAATAGAACACTCTGCACATTCAAAAATATGCTTTTAAAATGTTTTTTTTATTGTTTTCTTGGTTATTACAAAGTATGTGGTCAATGCATGTTCCTACAGACTAGAAAATTCATCTCAGCAATCCTTCATGCCCTTAGCCACTAATCCCCACCTCTTATCTAATCCATATACTAAAGGAAATGGAGTCATTTACCTACAGGAATATACTGGGTGTTTATAACAAAATATTGTTTCCCTATTAAAAATTGGGCATAAAGAAGACAAATAATAGAGGTGATATTTTAAACTTCTAAGTGACCTCATGAGTATATTCTTAGCTTCCTTTTTTGTTTTTTTTTAACATGGCCAACCAAAAATGATGTTGTCCCATGACATACAGAATACCTTGCCTTCTCGGTGTGAATTTGATGGGCTTTCATGCTGTTTAGATGCTTTGGGATTTTACTCTTTCATTCATTCCACCACATGATGTACAACGCGTGGAGCTGGGCCCCACAGACCCTGGGAAAACGTGGGCCTAAGGTTGCTACAAGAAGCTCTAAGAAGGAAGAGGACAAGTCCTTTCTCTATCATACGTGGTACTTAATAAGTGTTTATGGAATTAATATTTGTATATAAATGAACTGCATATAAGTGCCATGATAAAAAAACAAGAAAGTGCTTTGAAAGTTCAGATGAGATAAATGAATTTCTAGCTTGAGAATCAGGGAAGAATGGTCCTTTGAGGACTTCAAGAGATGGAAAGAGTTAAGGCAAACATGTTAGAAATAGGTTTCCAGTTATAGGCAGGGGCAAAGAGAGGAGAAATTGAGATCAGGGCAAAGCAAGAAGCTTCGCTAGCGCCTGTATCACAGGCAAGATTTATTGGGAAGTAAAGTTAAAAAGTCAACTCTGAATGCCAAGCTAAAGATTTATAATTTATTCCAAAGCAGTGGAGAGTTGATGGAGGTTTTTGAACTGGGAGTTTTGAATGGTGTATCCAAAGTGATACTTGAGGAAGATTAATCTGACAGTGGCTGGTGAAATGGACGACAGGCTGGCAGTGAACAGAATGGTTAGAAGGCAAAGCTGGGGTTAGGATAACGACCCTAGTGAGAGACTGAGAGAGGTAGCATCAGCTGATGAGGCAGCCACCAGCATGAGAGCTGAAGGAAGCAGAAGAATCAAAAATGATGCCAGATACTAAGAACTGAGATCTTAGCTTCTCCCTAGGCTGTGCCTTTGTCCCTTGACCCACCCTCCTCCTCTAAATCATCAAGAGTATAAGCCTCAGAGAAGGAGAGGAGCTTGAAGTACCAGTCTGGCAAATGTGTCAGTTGCCATAAAGAAAGTGGTGATATCTTTCATCTGCATTGACGTTCTTAAAATACTGATAAAGTGTGTAAAAAAAAAAACTAGTGCTTTCGTAATGGTTTATTTTGAACCACTGTTTCTTAGGTGCTCACAGATGGAGCTAGAAAATAGAGCTCCTTGCACTTATGCACATGTTATCCCAAGAATGTATGTTTTTGCAGATAGCTTTCCTTGTTCTCTAAGATGATTTCACCATTGTAAGGTAAACAGTGGAGTGATCTGTGATTTTTGACATGAGAAAATAAAGGAATGGATCTAGGCAACTGTTCAAGCTACCGAGGCACAAGGCTATGAGATAGATAAAGTATAAGCCATCGATGTTGTTGTAGTAGTAGTTAGTGTGGTGAATAATAAGGATAATATTGCTTGGAGCAAAGCAAATGGTAAAAATCATAAGAATGAGGAGACTCGTCTTAACATACCACAGCCATCTATGATCGTACGCATTAAGCGTCCGAATGATGGCTGTGTAGCAATAGATAATGACCACAAATGGAATTAAGAATCCAAAGAATGCCAAGGAGATGAAGTAATAGAGTTGGAAGGGAGCTGAGGATTTGCATGTGTTATGGACATCATGGCAGGTGGTGATACCTGGGTGGACAAGATAGTACTCCTGCTTTAGGATGAGAAATGGCAGCATGTATAAGAAAACTATTGCCCACACCAGTGCACACATTAACAAGGCATAGGTGCGCCTGGGCAGTCCCCGGTAAGTGAAAGGATGGACAATGGCTAGGTAGCGGCTGATGCTGATGCAGGCAAGGAGCAGAATGGAGCAATACATGTTGCCGTAGAAGATGACTGTGGTGGCCCGGCACATGACCTCTCCAAATACCCAGTTGTTTCCATTGAGGTGGTAGGCTATCTTAAAGGGCAGCGTGACACAAAAAAGAAAATCTGCAATGGCCAGGTTGGTGTAGAAGATGGTCATAGAGATGGACCTGGTCCTGAAGAAGAGCATCCACAGGGTCACCGCATTGGCTGGCGCACCTACTACAAACACCAGGATGTAGATGGCAGGTATCAGTTTGGTACTTAAGGAGCTGCTCAGGTACCCCATGGTAGCATTATTCACGTGGAGCTTTGAAACACTTTCTTCAGGGCACTTAATTTTAATAGTTGGGGTGGTTCCTGTCCAGCCTTCTATAGCAGAAAGGGGAAACTCTTCAAAAGAATTTGAGGGAGCTCCATGGTAGGTTTTAATAGGTAAGGTTGGCACTGCCAAGTTGTCTGCATCATTTTCCATGCCTGTAATTGAAAAGAAGTATTAACATATTATCTGTTGCTGAGCCATATCTATGGTTCAGGAGATAATAAAACTAAGTATCTTATGCTACAGAATCTCTGTACTTGTAGAATTTAAAGTTATTTTTATTTTGAAAAATTGTTATAGATCAAGTAATCAACAGGAATGCATTTAGTATGTCCCAGCACCATGCTAGCCCATGCAGGAGCGAAAACTAGGTGACAACTCGTTGCATGTAAGGAGTTTATAATACTGTTGGGGGAAAGAAAAATAGCACGTAAGACCATTATAGGCTAATGTCATATTGATTAAAAGGTCTAGGGGCCGGCCCTGTGGCCGAGTGGTTAAGTTCGCGCGCTCTGCTTCAGCGGCCCAGGATTTCACCGGTTCAAATCCTGGGCATGGACATGGCACCGCTTGTCAAGCCATGCTGAGGTGGCATCCCACATGCCACAACTAGAAGGACTCATGACTGAAAATACACAACTATGTACTGGGGGGCTTTGGGAGAAAAAGGAAAAATCTTTAAAAAAAAACAAAAACAAAAGGTCTATAGGCATTCAGATGATAGATTTAGATGTTTGAGCAAAATGTCAAGGAGAAGATGAATAAGAGCAAAGATGAGCAATTTCATCAAGAGATGGAATTTAATAGACGAATACAATTCTGGTAGGTAATATATGAACAAAGGCATAGTGTGGGCGGCATGAAATCTGGGAACATCAGATAAGTTAATTCAACAAGTGTTTGTTGCATATGTATATGCCAGTGATATACAGTTTTAAATAAACTCCATCCCTGTCTTCAACTCTCAGACTAGTGAAGAAGATGCACAAAAACACATTGTCTTATGCTAATAAGGTGCATCTGAGAGATGAATTTGAATGAGTAGATTACAACCAAATCTCTGAAGGGCCTCTAAACTGTACTAAGAAATCATGTGCCCGTTCATGGATACTGGGGTTGTCCGCATGCAAAATTGTGAACAGAGGGATGACCGTTGTGGTAGACAGAATGATGGGCCCCCAGAGATTCCATCTGATAATGCCTGGAACCTGTGACTTTGTTACTTTGTATGGCAAAAGGGACTTTGTAGATGTGATTAAGTATCTTGAGATGGGATGAGCATACTGGATTGGCGGCGTGGGCCAAATGTAATCACGAGACTCCTTATAAGAGTCAAAGATGCTTGAAGATGCTATACTGCTGGCTTCTAAGATGGAAGAAGGAGCCATGAACCAAGGAATGTAGGCAGCTTCCAGAAGCTGAAAAAAGCAAGGAAACAGATTCCCCCCTGGAGCCTCCAGAATGAACACAGCCCTGCCGACACCTTGACTTTAGGACTTGAACCTCCAGAGCTGTAACATAATAAATCTGTGTTGTTTTAAGCCACTAAGTTTGTGGTAATTTGTTACAGCAGCAACAGGAAAGTAGTATAACTGTGGCTTGACTTGTGTTTAAGATGACTTTGGGGAGAGTGCAGAGAATAGACTGAAAAGGTAAGAAAGGAGAGGCAAGGGCGCCTGATTTGGAGGCTGCTCAAGATGGTGAGTTACAGAAGTAGAGTGATGGCAGTGGAAAGGTGACAATGAACACGTCAGACTCTGTGATGGAGGCTCGAAGGGACCGGCATCTGTTTGGCGATGGAGGCGGAGAGGGAGAGGCAGGAGGCAGAAGTGAGTTGGAGGTTTCTGCTCTAAATGACATGGAGGAGCGTGGGACAAGGGGCAGCACAGGGAGAAGCTAAGACCTCAGTTGTTAGTGTTAACTAAATTTGGGTTGCTGGTGGGATATCTGTGTGTTAAATGTCCCATGACAGGTTAGAAGACTTAGGTGTTGAGTCCACAACTCCAGGAGCCCGAATAAGAGGTATGACTTTTCAGTCTGCGTAGAGGCTGTAGTTTAATTTAGTGGGAGTGGATAGGACGGCCTAGGGAGAGAGGAGAAGAAAGAATCCAAAGGGAGGCTTTAGGAGAAATGCCAGATTTGAAGGGGAGAGGAGACAAAGGAAGAAAAATGAGAAGATGAAATCAATATGATGATTTTTAAGAAGTTGGAAATGAAAAAAAAAGAAACAACAACTACATACTAAACATATTGGGTATTACTTGGCATGTTGATATTAACAATCCTAATTTTTGAAAGAGCAACTTCAAAAACAAAATAAACCTTAGTACTCAAATCTGTTTCTCGTTATATAATTTTTCCATAAATTAATCTTTGACATGTATAGAAAGTAGATTCTATCAAGTTTCTAATGTTACCTTAAGATGGACTTTTAGGTTGAATATACACCTCGTACTTACCAATTTAAAATGCCATTGCTCTGCCACTCATGTCTTCCTCACTCTACCTTGGAATTCCTACATGTTGAAAACTTGAGGTTAAAGTACTAATAATTTACTAATCTGGTTCTCACTCAAAGCCAGTTCCTCTTCCTGCTTTCTTCTCTAGCAGCTGGCCTCCGGGTGGAATTGAAGCCGCCTCATAACCCTGAGATTGTGCAAACTCAGTGTGTGAAACAGAGGGAGGGTGTTGCCTGAACAGGCCAGGACAGCGAGGTGCTCAGGTGTCATTTAAGAGAAGACAGATTAGAGAGAAGGAAAGTAAAATCTGGGAAGTGGCGTTTGTCTGTGCCTGTGTTTTGGTGTGAACTGTGAAGGCGTGTGTGTGACGCTTGAGTCCAGCCACACAGATCCTTCTGCTCACTTTTGCATTTTGGAAAATTCTTGCGTCTGACCACACCCAAAGAAAAGTGCCTTTACAGATAGGTAGAAGCTGGAGAGGGGTGGCTGGAGAACGTGCTGTCCCAGTTATTTCCCTTCCAGATCTGATAAGGGAGCTGTTGAAACCCAGTGTTTGTCAGTTTTCAGAAAATTCCTCTGATTGAGCAAGACATCGTGCCTAAAAGCATGCCAAACAGTGACTGTTCATGAAAAAGTCTTGATTCCATTTCCCATGAGAATTCCGGATCTGGTTCAGCTTCAATAAGTCTTTTATCCCTTAATGCCTGGTTTTCCTTAAGAATAGTACTCATTGTTAAATTTTATATATTTTTTAATTTTATTTGAATTCTTTGTACAGGCTTCTGTTTGGCATCATGCTTCTGAAACGTTTAACGGCCTGGGACACAGACTGATCCAAAGGGAATGGATTTGAGCCTCTTGATAATGAGTTCTTCCCTCGTGTTTCTCCCCTACCCCATCCAAGAAAGCAACCTCACTGCCTTTCACTTTGTCACCTTTAAATTCCACTCTTTTCACTTCCACCAAACCCCACCAGCATCTTGAAGGAACCACCTGCACAAACCTCTTTTCTTTGGTTATCCTTTCATTATTCTGCATTTCGATTCATCCACTCTCAGAAAACACTCGCTCACTCGATTCACAGCCGTGTGTGCTCTCCTACCACCCGCCTCGGCCATTCCGACTGTCAGTGTAAGCAGCGTTCCTTTACAGAGGTTTGTTATTTCTTTAATTTTGTTATTTCCTGCTGGTGGTTGCCCCTCACCCCAGCTCTCCTGCTCCTAACAGTGTTGCCTGGACTGTACCTAACAGTAAAAGAGTGGTGGGTACAGATCTATCCCAAGTGGGTTAATTTGAGAGCAAGCAGGAGGTTACAGGCTAACATCGTGTTGAGTGAAAGAGGAAGCGTGTCAACAGTTGAATAATAGTATTCAGGAGATTTCACTTATAAAATTATAAAATCATATATGAGGGTGGGGAGAACTCCCAGGTGCCACTGAAAGTCAGAAAAGGTATTTCGTTTAGAAACACTAATTCATTAGCATCGCTGACTCCTGAGGGCAGACCGTTCCATCTTTCTGGGAGTTATTCTGGTTTCCCCTATTTGTGCCTCACCAGAACGTATAAACAAGATTTTTTAAATCTCTTGCAAAAGTGCCATCTTTGCTGAATCAGAGGAAATACTTAGAAAATCAAAAACTCCTCACAAAGAAAATTGATTCTTAATTGTAGTGATCTAAAATCTTAGCTATGCCACGAGTTTTTAAATATAAGCAGAGGACGCTTATTGTTTGACAAGGTTTGAACAGAGTGAACAAACTCGAGCTGTTCGCTTCTGTGATGCCGCCGTTTAATAACTAAGATCAGACGCTGCCTCCAGGTTGCCATTTGTGTGAAATGCAAAGAAAATTAGACTCAGGTGACTCTTGTCACCAAACCAGCACCCGCACTGTACCCCGTACGAAAAGAGCTTACCACTTTGACAAAGAGTGGGTGACAGAAGCATCAGTCCAGCAGCTGCCAGGATGACAGCCTTCATCTTGATGTCCTCAGTCCCGTTTCCCAGACGTCATCAAATGTGTATGATCGGGGAACACGTTTCACCTCAGTTCCATGTGTTAACAGCAAATGGAAGCCTTGTTCTCTCTGTAGACGCGTGCTCTCCTGTGCTCTGCAGGCAGGAAGCGTGCCCCCTCCTCTGCAGAGAAAGGGTGTGACAGCACTCAAGTTTCAGTGTGCATGACTCAGGCCAAGCCTCTGAGCATGGTACATAATCCCGGAGAATGTTGTTTAACCCTTGCCCGCCCTAATGGTCCATTCTGAACAGATGCTGGCCTTCCCACCAGGATACAGCTGTGCGGTAAGAGAGTGCAGATGGTGTACTGTCCTTTACAGAAGGGAGCGGGAACTAGATGCTGCCCAGCAGTTTTAGCTCTGTCTCATCTCATTTTTACCCATTTTAAAAATGCACTTCCAGAGTGTAATTTCTGCTTAATATTAAGCTGTCAGAAATTATCCTTTCCTTTATCCTCCCAGCTATTTCAAATCTTAATTCTTAAACTAATTACATAATTATAAATTAAATGCATCATGGGAAGCAAACATTTTTTAAGTTAAAATTAAGTGCTTGATTACTTTGAAAATTCTTGCGCACTGTCACATTGGTCTGAATTTGTCAACGGTCCCTGGCCAGAACTTGGTTTTACAGTGTTATGTTTTGTTTTGCCACAGTTCAATCTCTTACGAGCTATTCAGTAAGTCTACAGGGGCAGATAACTGGGCCGGGGGCAACCAACATTATGATTAAAGTAAAATCATAATACAACGCTGACATGCCAAGGACTGCCTTGATTCCATGAGTATTGGTGAACAGGTCTACAATAAGGCTTTTTTTAATTGTGGTAAAATGTACATAACATAAATTTATTATCTTAACCATTATTAAATGAACAACTCAGTAGCATTAAGTACATTCACATTGTTGTGTAACATGCAAGCCTCTATAAGTAGTTATATTCTGGAGGATATGATTTAATATGCAGTAGAAAAAAATACTGCGTTATAACAGATTTTCCTGTAATTAATGAAATTTAAGGTTAAACACTAAACCCAACAGCCTGTTGCCTATAAAATGTAGCAAGAATCAGAAAATGCAAATTTCACATGAGACTTAAAGGCTGAGGCATAAGCTAGGAAGGAATTGATCTGTGTAAACTTTTCACATCTTGATTAAATTTCATCACACCAAGAGTTTTGCCATCCAAAGTCAGTGTGATGATCACATAATTTATGGTAATGCAAACTGAGATAGAATGCTATCGTGTTGCAGAAATAATGACCAAGAAAAGTACAAAATATTGAAGAGAGTACTTTTTAAATTAAAACTTAATTCAGGAATTTATGACTTGTGCAGATGGCCTAGTTTCTGTTCACTTCGTCCATTTGTAACTCACATGTTGAACCTGGCTCTTTAGCCCAAGGTGAAGCGTGGCCATCTGTAGATATAATATTTCTAGTCTTCTGGTGAGCAACTGGAAAGGAGACCTTACTGATGTGGTAGGATTCAGTTTTTACTCTTGGTTTTGCATTTAACTCGAGCAACCTTTAGTTCAGTGAGTCATGATTTAAACTGTTGCCTTAAATTCATTTAATGTGCAAAGTCTGTCTTCTGTTTGGCGTATAGAATTAATACTTTGAAGTAGGATGGTAACTTCTCATCTGGGTGAAAGTTTGTATGGTGCATCTTCTACAGTGATAAGTTATGAATAAACTTGGTAAATACCCTTCAAAAACATTGAGACAGACATAAATGAACTTGTGTGGAGCCTAGTTTTTAGGCTATACCTTGGGGAGTATTTGGGTTCTCCTTAGCCTTGAAAACAGAGAAAAAATAATTCCTGCTCCCCTGTCTCTCCATCCCTCCTCTGGTCTTCAACTTCCCATCTTGCTTCCTGTTTGAACCTTTCCCATCCATTCTCCCAAGAGATGGAAAATCTTACTAACAGCTGATGGTACCCACATGGCGGACCTAGCTGGAGATGATTGTGGAAGCAGGTGCCAGGCCTTCCACAATGGTCTCCATTAGGCCAGATGTTGTGGGATGAAATAACAGATAGTTTCTTTCATTTTCAGAGCCCTTTTCACACACAATTTCTCATGTTAGTCTCTGAGGGAAATAAGGTTGAAGCCTGCCAAAGGAGCTGGTGTGTTATTTCTCCTCCCTGCTCCTCATCCATCTTGAGTCCTGAGTGATGGAGCACGTTTTCATGGCTCCACTGAGCTACCCTCTATTCATCACAATCTTGCCTTAGGATTTAGTATGTGATACATTCCTACACGGGGGCAGATGTTCCCATTTTTTTAAACGGAATGTCTTACCTTCCCTGAAAATGATTTCTACTGATAAAATTTACTTATAATTTTGGACAAGTTTATATAAAACGCAGTTGCAGTCTGGAAGTCCCATTTAATTACATTACATACCAGCATTGCATTTGTGGCAAGATCGTCAGAGTCAACCCAAAAGTAAAAACTAGTGAAGATACTTCAATAACTTTTCATTGCTGCTAGTGCTTCCTTTCTGCAGCTGTCCTTAACCACTTAGTCTTTTCTCCCTCTGCAAATCAACAAGCCCTATTCTAAGTTAACCCCTTCTTGGCTATTTCTAGATCATGTATCTACAGCCGCTATTACATTGATCACCTTGTATTATAATTATTTTTTGATACATCTGTCTCTTCTACTGAACTGTCAGCTCCTTGAGGGCAATCACTATGTTTTTGTTTGGGTTTTTTTTTTTTTCCCTTTTGCAAGGAAAGATTTGCCCTGAGCTAACATCTGCTACCAGCCTTCTTCCTTTTTTTTGATCCCCAAATCCCCAGTACGTGGTTGTATATGCTAGTTGTAAGTTGTTCTGGTTCTTCTATGTGAGCCACTGCCACAGCATGGCAACTGACAAGTGGTGTGGTTCTGCAACCAGGAAGTGAACCCTGGGCTGCCAAAGTGTTAAGTGCCAAACTTTAACCACTAGGCAATCAGGGCTGCCTGTGTTTGTGTTTATTTTTGTCTCTGTGTCTGATAAATATCAGGTATCATTGTGCTTCCCTCAAATTTAAAGTATCCCATGGCCCTCGGGGCCACCCTGGGAACCACAGTTACTGAGTGAGTGGGGGAGAGAGTGTTTGACTAGGGGTGGCCAGAGAAGGCTTTGTTGGAGTAGGTGGCGTTTGAATGAAGCCCTGAAAGACAAGAAGAGCCACCAGTCATGCGGCTGGGCTAGAATGCTATGATCTGAAGGAGGCTGGTGTGAAGGTCTGGGGCAGGGAGCAGAGGAATGGGAGGTGCAGCCAGAGGGATCAGCAGGGCCAGATCATTAGATGCCCAGAGTCCATGGGGAGGGAGTTTTGTCCCCTCCTAACTGCAGGGGAAAACCTGGAGGAGGTGAAGAAGAGGAGCGGTGTCACGAGATGTCCATTTTGAAGAGCCCATCTGGTTCCCGGTAGATGACCACTGTGGTAGAAGGTGAACTTGGAAGCAACAAAAGCAAATAGAGACCCAGGCAGCTGTCCCGTTGAGTGATGACGGCTGGACTGCGAGGGTGGCCGTGGAGAAAGGAGAAGCGGTTGGGTTGGGGGTCTTTTTCGTTAGTAGCTTGTGGCACTATATGGCAGTGTTTAGTAGTTGCCAGATCAGAGTTTGTAGAAATTGTAATAAAAAGGCTCCTGAAAAGCAGTTACTAATTCTGTTTCACCATCATTCACTGTTCTTTCTTTTTTTCTATGGCAATATTCCCAGGACTCTGAGAGTGCTTCTAAAGTTCTTTGGCTGGATGAGATACAGCACGCAGTCGATGAGGCCAACATGGACAAGGACAAAGCAAAACAGTGTGAGCCCTCGCCTCCTTTTCCTGGCCCACCTCGCTTGCTTGCATCCGGTTATGCCCTTGCATTTTCATTGTAATTCATAATCTTTTAAAATTATGTAATTTTTAATTTCTGAAACTATTTGGACTGTCTTACCAATTTTAGTTTTTGAGTGCATATTTATACAAAATTAAGATTTGTTGGTTGCACTATTTTCCGTAATTAGGTGCTATCTCCAGCAAAATCTAAGAATGTTGTTGAACGAAATCCAGAAAGCAAAAAATGATTCCTAAACTCTCAAATTTATAGTTTAATCAAGTCTTTTTTCTATCTTGATCCTTAGAAAACTACCCATTTCTGCTTAATAAGGGTCCTCCATGCCTTTCATTGTGTTAGTCAGGGTTTTCCAGAGAAATAGAACTAAGTATATATTTTTCTCTGGAAAAAAACAGAACTACATATACAGTTTTATATATATGTATTAGTGTTTCTCTGGAAAGTACACGTACTATCTGTTTATCTATATACATACCCATTTATATGCAGAGAGAAAGACCGAGATTTATTTTAAGGAAGTGGCTCGTGCAATTGTGGAGAGGCTGGCAAGTCCAAAATCTGTAGAGCAGGCCAGCAGAGGCCTGGTGGCAGCACTTAATCACCAAAACAAGTGTGTGTGCTTACTGTGATGGTCAGCTGAGTGAAAGCAGTGATCAGACTAATCTGACTTGCAAAGACCTATGGAGCTGGCTATTCGATCATGCTGTTCCTGGAAGTGAAATAGACAGTTCGTCTACGAAATTCTTCCTTGATCTGTACAGGTGGAAGAGTTCCAGGTCAAGTGATTAGAAGTCTAACTTGAATCATGGAAACAGAAAGTTATGGCCCCTCAGTCAGTTCTCAGACGTGAGCCATTTACAGACCCAGAACTCTGAATGAAATGGAGGCCAGGCCCTTTTGAGAAAGGACTTTGCTACACTACCAAAAATGTATACTGTTCATCTTTCTCCCAGGCTTCTCCTGAAGAGACCTATGGCCTTTTACCATGGTGACTGTGCTGGGGGCAAAGGGCATAATCAGACTTCTCAGAGATGACTCGACTTTGTCTCTGAACTGATGCTCATTCCAGGAGACCCACCACTTCACTGTGGTCCAGCAGTCAGCGTGGGGGCTTATGGAGGTCAGATGATCAATGGAGTTTTAGCTTAGGTCTGTCTCACAGGGGGTCCAATAGTTCCCCAAATCCGCTTTGGGATTATTTCCCCTGGTCCAGAATGCACAACTGGAATAAATATACTCAGCAACTCGCAGAATCCCCACATTGACTCAGATGATAGTTTTTAAAATTTTATTTGAAGCCTCTTTTCATGGAGGAATAGTATGAAAATTCACATGGCAATCTAAACTAGCTTCGAGATTGATATACTAACACTCTACGTGTACAAATAAGCTAAATAAATTAAAATAAGCTTCCTAAAAGTGGAGTTCATTAGCCTGTCCATTCATGGCACAATTAGAATCTCTCCGGTTGTATTGGGTCACAGAATGCCATTGAGATGCCTTAGTCTTGCTTCAACAATGTGCTTTTAAACTTTGGAAGCATCTGTGAGGACCATCTGGTTTTGATTTCCTTGGCCTGGAGAACTGTGTGTATTTCTCCAACCTGAACTTTTATGCCCTTAGGATCTTTGAAGACTTTCCGTTCTAGACTCTAATGCTTAAGAAAAAAAACAAGGTTGAGATGTGTATATAAGAAATTTAAGTATAAAACTGAAGGCAACCATAGTTTGAAGAAACACTTCTATGAAATTAGATTGTAATATAGGCACTCAAATAGCCTAAAAGGGTTAGGATTTTTCTCTCAGAGATCAAACCAATTTAGAAGTTATTTTATTCCTTTTAGTCCATGTTCTTCTGACATTTGGCCTACAGATGTTAAGAGGGTGCTGTTTTTTATGTTGAGACTTATGGTTCTATTGACTATGAGAGTAAAAGGTTTTCTCAAATATGTGTGATTTTGTACTCCACACTCGCACATTTAAAATCCTATCTTCTAACGCCCCTGTCCCTTGGAAGGGTGAATAGAGTGTCTTCTACGATGTATGACAACAAAAAGAAGTTCTGAAGATAAAACCATCTATATTCTGACACTGAGATGAGAATTTTCCAGTTTTTCAACAAGGAATTTAATCTTACTTTTAAAAGCATCTTTCATCCTTTGTATGAAGGCTTGAAACAGATTCTGGTGACATGTTGTAAACACCAAACCTACTCTCAGATAGTTTGATAAAAGATCACGTATTGGCCCATATATTTTCCCACAG